AGGAAGCTTAAAAGTACGTGCGGTGGATACAGCGGCAGCTTTCCGTCATTCAGCAAGCGCTCTGTGTGTGCGTGTGTATCATGTCTAAGCACAAATCAAAGTTTGTGGTGAGCGGACGGCGTTTCAGATCGTGTGTTCCTCCCTGCCCGCGCTATCTCTCGGGTGGGGATACACGTGATTTGTACGTCGTCTGTTTGGGAGCAGAGCATGCACGGTTAGCTCTCGAGGGGGCTAACTGCCATCATTGTGAGCTTCTTCCGCTCCGAGTGCTCCGCTCCCGCCTGGCCGTCTTTGATGAAAGCGGCCAGGTTCGCGATCCCGCTGGGTCCGGTCCCGCTGTTGCCAAGGCACAGCGGAGACTGTTATCCTGGGGATCGCAGGTGGATTTTGCAAGGGGATCCGAGACGGGCTTGTCCTTTTCTCGGTCCTCACCCGCTGGATCCGCGGCTCTCTCTCTCTCCCCGCGGTTTCTTCCCCCCGGAGAGAGAGCCAGGCGTTTCATCTGTCTTCCTCCGAGGAGGTTGACGTGATGAGCGTCGATACTGAGGAGACTGTGAGCTCGCCACCACAGTCCCTCGCATATGAGGACCTTGTGGAGTTTGTGACTCGTGCCGTAGCCCAGCTCAACATCAATTGGCCGGCCGGGAAGCGGGACGCTCGTCCCAAAAGCAAGCTGGACGAGCGCTTCCTGGGAGCTACGTCGCAGCCTTCACGACGGGCCTTCCGTTTTTCCCCGATCTCCATGCCGAGGTGTCGAGATCGTGGGGGAAACCATATTCTTTCCGACTCTTCAGCCCTACTGTTTCGAATTATTCAAACATCATGGGGCTGAATGAGAGCGGATACGGGGCGATGCCGGCGGTGGAGCAGACGCTCGCGAGCTATCTCTCCCCGTCTTCAGCATCGTCCCTGAAGGCCCCAAAGCTTCCCACCAGGCCGGTGAGACTGACATCCAGCCTGGTTGGGAAAGCTTATACGGCGGCAGGTCAGGCCGGTGCGTGTCTGCACACCATGGCGCTGTTGCAGGCGTACCAGGCCGACCTGCTAAAAGACCTAGGCGAAGCAGCAGGCGGCGGCATTCCAGCGCTTCCTCCCTTGCCATTCCCGGGTCTTTGGGGCTGCTGAGCGGGAGCTCTGGCTCCTCTGCGACTCCAGGGCATCTGCATACTGAATTATATCGACGATTGGTTGATATTAGCTCAATTGGAGCAGGCGGCGGTTCGGCATCGAGATGTCGTTCTCGCTCACATGAAAGAGCTGGGGTTAAGACTAAACGCCAAGAAAAGTGTGCTTTCTCCAGTACAGAGAACCACTCCATGGGAGATTCCCGTCAGGAGGGATCTCCTCTCACAGGCGGGTCCACCCCCGCCCGGAGTGGTGGAAGCTGTGGGTGTGGCCTCTGAGGGGGCACAACTCGTAGCTTCTGGTCTCTCAACCGAGGTTGTTGAGACCATTCTCCAATCCAGAGCTCCCTCAACGAGGAAACTGTACGCCTTGAAGTGGAAACTTTTCACTTCTTGGTGCGGAGACCGGCAGCTCGACCCAGTTAACTGCCCAGTTGGTACAGTGCTGGAGTTCTCCGCAGGATTGGTCTGTGGGCAGACACCCCCTAGTTACACATTTCCTCCACGGTGCGCTGAGGCTGAGGCCTCCGGTACGATCTTGTGTCCCTCCGTGGGACCTGGCTGTGGTGCTAGAGGCTCTCTCTAAAGCGAGTTGGGGATCTTCGGGCCCTCTCAGTGGCCGGTCTGGCCAAAGCATTTCTCTACCCTCGAGCGGGTTATGTTCCTAAAGTTCCCTCCTCTACACCACGGTCTGTCGTATTCCAGGCCTTCTGTCCTCCTCCCTTTCGGGAGCCCGACCAGCAGAGGCTTAACTGTATGTGCATCAGGTTCTATGGCCTCGATATGCGAGCCACTCCAGGCTCTTGTGTTCTCTCGCCCTAGCTGTGCTCTTCCACACTGGGCAGGGATTTGTAAGTCTGGCGGCGTGGGCATACTCGTTCCCATTGCGTTTCGACGTAGCTCGAGTTCCTGAAGGGGAACGTCTCTAGGTTACGCATGTAACAATGGTCCCCCGAGGGAACGAGACGCTGCGTCTCAGTGCCATACTTCCGGCATCCCTGTGAGCGCTTGCTTCATTTCTCAGAAGCTGCCGCTGTATCCACCGCACGTACTTTTAAGCTTCCTGGTCGCTACGTCACCCCGCCCGTGACGTCTCGCCCATCCATTGGACTGATTACACATGTGATTCAGAGCGTGGTCACGCTGAGGGCGTTCCCATAGTGTTTCGACGCAGCGTCTCGTTCCCTCGGGGAACCATGGTTACATGCGTAACCTAGAGACGTTCACAAAGCACATGAGTGTGATGGTCACACATACTTGTGTCCACATACTGCATGTTGTCATATGTTTTGTTTACTTTGCCATGTGTGTTTTTGTTTTGATTCATGTCCTGTCTCCTCCCCTGTATCATCACTGGTTGTTTCCCTCATGTGTCGTCACTACTTGCACCTGTTTTCAGTTTGCCCCTTAATTAGTTTGTATATTTAAACCCTTGTGTGTCTTTGTCCCATGTGAAGTATTGTTCAGTGTTTACCTGCCTGTCCATACTGAGCCGTCTTTGTTCTGTGTCACATTACTCTGGTTCTTGATAAGTACTCTTTAAACGACAAACTGGATAAATGAGACCATAAAACTGTAAATCTACTGAGTATAAATTCAAACACGCTATCAAACCTTGTCAAATTTAAAAAAATAATTTTTAGGATTCAATGACTTTTGGAGCATGCAAACTAGTCAATGTGCAAAGATACAGAGTAGCTGAAAATAAAGTATTATAGCATCATTAATTATAAAAAGCCAATTGTGATCCATGTCCCTGAAGAGACCCTGAAACCCTGCAGCAGATGGGTGTACAGACTGACAGTGAAAGTACACACACACACAAAGATAGACAGACTATACCTGATCTTGGCTTCAAGCCAAAGACAGTCAATGTTGTGCTGAAGTCTGTGGAATGCATTCCCTCCTGCAATAAGAAAAACATTCCAAAATTTTGCATGAAATTTATCCAGCATTTTCTATATGGCTAAACAACACTTAAAAATACATTACATAAATTTCAACCTTTAAAATGTTCATAGATTTTACACAGAAATTCACTTGTCCTTTGGTCCCATGGGTCTGAATGTGGGGAATTCCACTTTACATAATCACTAAATAATACATGAATTAAATTTTAGTGATATTATAACATAATGCTAGGAGTCATATTTGTTTCCTCTCCCTGCGCTGTCTGTCTGACTTGAGATGATTATGTTGATTTATGTACAAATTGCTAATTATCCGATTAGCTAGCAGGTTATTAGTTCTTCTTTTGGAAGCAGTATCTGTGTACTCTGTTTTATATACTTGTGTTTTATTGAATAACCTAGTGTTAAGAATACTAAAAAAATTTAACAAATAAATCTGGTGAAGACAGTGAAGTTCAGATTTTATCACAGGTTTACATTAATCTGCTTGTTCTAGTACGTTATTGTTTCTATATTGTTTCACAGGGCCTTGAATTAAAAAACATATAATAATTGATAATAGTCAGAGGTAAAGTTGTAACTAAGTTTCCAACACTGGAAATTCTTCAGGACAGAGGAGTTTATGCTTTGTTGTTTCTCGATCACATTGTTTTTCTTATTAACTTCAAGAAAAAGAAAAAAGAGTGGCTGGTGAGGGAATGACTGTTTGTAGTTGCTATAACGTAAGTGAAAACAGGAACTAACTTGTTTCAGAGACGTTTCATAACATTAAAAATAACTATAAACATATAGGCATGACATGTTGGTCATAAATAAATTGAAATTTGTAATAATTGGCAAACTGCTCTGGTAAAATGGGAAATAAAAGACTCCAGAACATGTTATTATTGGAAAATAGATAGGGACTATTCAATCATAGTGTGTTATCTTTTTTTTTTTACTCATTTTTTGTATTTACCTTTACAAAATGAGAAGCATGAAACTTGATGTTTTTCAGTTACACCCCATTAACCATGTGGCTTTCACTTTACTGTGGCTCTGGGCGTGGGCTGTGTTTTCAGTGCATGGTGTCAGGTGTTTTTATCAGCTGTATTGATTTGATCTCACCAGGTTTTCAAAAAATTAATTTTGTGAAATGCATCTATGGCATATATCATCTCAAAGGTGATACTCTGAAGAAGGAAACATGGACAAACTCCCAAGATATTGTCAACATTTAAGCTTTGTAAACAAGCTTAGGTGTTTTTAAATTCCATCCAACACTTAATGTTTCTTTATTCATTTTCATAAAATACATACATACATATCATCTCACCTCACAATCATTCTCAGTGGAGTTTCTTCGTGCACTTTGGCACTTGTACTAAAAAAAAAAAAAAAAAA